CTGAAAGATCTATTGCCTATTCATTAAGCTTAATTTTGAAAGAAAGCAGAATATATCCTCACCTCCTCAGGTTTTTTTTTTTTCAATTTTCTGCTCTATTCAGTTTCTACCTTTACAGAGAGATATGCACAAGTGAGTTCAAGAAATAAAGGAAAGAGGAGGCCCCCTGTGAGGACATCAAAACAGAAATGAAACAGAATAAAAAATCTGATTGCTGGAAAATGAACTGACAAAGACAAAATAATCTATAACAGATAGAGGTAGAAGGAGTTTGTTTAACCTCATGTGTTTTGGATTCCACAGAGTTTCCACCAATTTAAAAAAAAAAAAAAAAACAACAACCAAAACTTATACAGATGTACAAGTGCATGGTGCTGGAATTATTGTTGGGCATGGAAGATGAATCTCTATAAATATATTTAGAGGTAGGATTTAATAAACCAAGGTGTCTGCTGCAGATTTGGCATAGTGATGTTCCAGATATGGAGAACAGTCAGTCACAGAGATTTAGACCTATATCAAAAAATGAAGAAGAGGAGAAAAAAAAAAAAGACCATGAAAGAAGGAGAATGGATATATGGGAGAGAATTCCAGGAAATGCAGAGTTTAAGATCACAATTAATGAGAAGTAGAGACCAATGCGGAAATACTTGAGAACCTATTGAAGGGAAGCAGCAAATTTTAAATCCAAACTTCCAGCACAAACAGCAAAAGAGGCCAAATAGTTTATAAGGCTGGAAAGTGAAGAGATCAAGCAACAGGCTTAAACAAACAAAAGAGAATACTTTTCCCTCAAAGCACATAACTAAATTCAGAATCTTGTTGCCACAGGTTACTGTGGAAGCTAAGATGACAAATGTTTTGAAATGGGACTGGAGAAGCAGGTGGAATATAAATAATGCTATAGTTAGGAAAGGTGCAGCAGGACTTCTGGTCTTACACATTGTAGGAGATCTAATGAGGTTGTGACTTGGTCTTTCAGTTGCCTTTATTTGCAAAAATATTGCTTGCCCAAGGAAAAAAATACAAAATTGAGAGGCTGAAGACAAAAGAATATGTCATGCCACTTTTTATTCCTCAGAGATCCTAAGTTGCTGGCTCAAATGCTTTCCTAGTTAAAATTTGGCCAAGAAGAATTGCCTTGACCATCCACAGCTGCTGATTCACGTTCATTTCCACACTGCTCCTCCATATAACTGCTGCAGAACACATTATAACTCTGAATATTTCAACTAATTTAATGCCTGGCTGTAGACTGGCATATCAGGATATTTCACCAAGGTGCTCTGTTTCAAATAGGGCTGCAAATTATCAACTGCTGCTGTTTGCACAAAGGATGTTTCTCAGTGATGGGGACTCCTGTCACTCACTCCAAGGCAGCGCTGAACTGAGTCTCTGCCAGTGGCACCCAGAGGTTCTGAGCTACTCCTCCAAACACAGCAGCTGTGTCCTCAGGTTGATCATGATGGAACACCTCCTCCCTCCACTCCAGCTAAATCACTGCAGTTATTACTGGAGCTCTGCAAGCACAGTCTATGTTTTTGGGTTGAGCAACACGAGTTTGACAGTTTGCTCCGTTTGCTGGTGATTAATGACTAGTATTTGGACAAAGGTAAACAAAAATTCTTAATAAATTGGAAGAGAGTGAAAATTGCCTGGGGCCCATTACCAAAGAAAGGGTGCAATATATCTAGCCAGAATGTGCACTTCTAAAGCACTAAGCTTGCCAATTAGAATACAGAAATGACAACAGCTACAGGCATTAAAGCCTTTGCCTTTGTTACTGCATGAAACAAATGCTTGAGCAAACTACACGTCTTGCCTTTGTGCTTCTGCCTATAAACTCTGACTTTGTACCCACCTTCCTGCTTCACAGAGTACTTTTTGACATTTATTATTAACAATAAATGTTAAGAAAAAGGAAATTAGCAGTCACATTGATTCGGTAAAGCAGCATGAGCATATTTAATAGCCCAAGCCTTTAACCTTATTCAAATAGATTCAATTTCTCTGAAGTCTGGTTTCTTTAATTATACAAAAAAATCTAAAAATAATTTTTATGTTGTCAGATACTGATTGTGTTGGACACATTTCCATTCATCTGCTTACGGCAATATTTATTTTCTCTCCATCAGTTAACATCAAAACCATATTACCTCATCACCACCACTCATCATCACAATGGGAAAAAACCACTACTCTTCTGTATCATTTTGTGCTTAGATGGGTCCAGTTAAAGCCATGAGACACTCTTTGCTTGGTATGTATAATTAATATGTATAAATACTTTGCTTGCACCTAATATCTAATTATGATAAACTATGTATTCCATTTTTGGTCAATGTCCTCCCTTCTCTAAATCTTCTCTGGGTTAGGGAGATAACTTAAAAAATGGAGAGAATTAGTAGATTGAGTATCACTGAAAGGGGGATTTCTTAAGGGGAGACAAAAATAAAGGAGAGAAGCCAGATGAAGCTCTTACACCATTAACACACAGAAAGAGATAAAAATCTGTTGAAGAGGAAAAAAAGGAATAAAATGTATGAAAATCACAGTACATATAAGAAAATGAAAGCTGTGAATCATGTTGCCCTTCCCTGCCTCTACAGAGGATAACTTCCACTGATGTTCCCTGTTTCCTCACACAAGCTCATTTGGGAAATCTGGCATGTACCTTGTCTCAGAAACCCGATATTTAAGGTAAGAAGTCATATGATTAATGAGCTCTAACAAAGGAGTAGGACAAAAAATTATGTCAAGATGTTAAGCACAGGGGAAGGGATGAGAAATCAAAGGATGCTTCCAGATATATTTAGGAAGATAAAAAATACATCCTCTATTAAACAGAAGGATGCATCTCAGAAAAATGATAAAAAGTAGGTTTTCTAGCCCCCAGAGAGAGAGAAGAAAAATATTGTATAATTTTAGGAGGATTATGGTTCACTAGAGACATTCATGAATGTAATGAGCTAAAGAAGGGGTAAGGCTGCTTAAATTTATCTATACAACGGATTGTGATACACTTGATAAAACAATTGTGTCGGTCTCCTTTTTACTTAAAATTAACCTTACAACTCTGAACCTCAGTAAGTTGTTAAGTACTAAACATCATCTCATGCTCTGTCACATAACTCTGATTGTTTCAGAAAGCTGGAAATCACCTGACATTTACCTTCTGTAGCTCCAGCGCTAGAATTGCAGAAATGCAATTAGGAAAACCCAGGTACTCATAACAGAAAAGGTCAGCAATGAGCAAGCTAAACCTGATAACATGCCTAATGTGCTGCCAAACATAACAGAATGCCTCCCTGATAATGAATGATTTTACAGACTGCCAGGAAGTTGATGCAAGATAATCAGATCACCAGGGGACACACCACTGTGCAAGACTGGGAACAGTGAAATATTCTTTGATAGAGTTCTATTGCAGAGCCACCACTGATGGAAAAAGATCCCCCATTATAAAAGGACATATTTTCAGAAATAATGACATAAATAAATTGGGCAGAAAACACAAATGACAGAAGTTTCAACACATGGTAAGTGCAGAAGCTGTTACCTCATCAAAGGCAGAGCACTTTGTGCCTGCAGCCAACAACCACCACACCACTGCCTCTGGGATGCAAAAGACATTTTTTCTTTTCCTCTTCTTGTAGCAGACAATGTAAATAGAGGTTAGAGGGTTTAGTTTTCCTGTTTGTCTTTAACACAGAAATACTCACGCAGCAGTACAGGCTCTGTGTTCCTCATGCAAAGATCTCCTCCTTATTTGTGTCACTAATCCTACATAAACTAATGATGAACTTTAAGAAAAATGAAAAGTAATCTAAGTGTTTCTTTTGATAAATGATGTTTCATCAACAGTGCCAATAAATATCTCATTATTGAAAACAGCACTTACTAGAAGTTTTATGCCAAATACCTAGAGGCAAGTAAACCTATCGTGAAAAAGGTTTCTGATACCTTACAACCACCAAGGAAATGTATACTTGCTGTAACTGAGTTCATCATGAGCTAATAAAATCTACATAATTCTCTTGTCTATTTAAAGACTGAAATTTGCATTAGATTTTTTCATTTTATTTTGGCATAGATATAAGAAATTGCACTTAAAAAAATAGAGGGAATAAAGTACCATCATGAGCTAAAATGGAGGTTCTGCCTCTATATTCTCTTATATTAAAATTCAAATTATGGAAATCATAACCTTCCAGAAAGTACCTGTGGTAAGAGAACATCTTGTTTTGAGACTCCTAGATCGGAATTGACAAGCTGTATTAAAGACAAATGCTAATTTTATATAACAGTTTCCCCTTCAGCTGAGTTATATCAATCTATTTCATTATCAATGTGGAAGGCAGCTAGTTTTTTCACATGACACATACTGTTTCTTAATTTATAAGGGGAAAAAAAAGACCAACTGTAATTTAATGTGACCTTTCCTATTTTTCCATTTTATTGGAAGTAGAATAACACATTTAGGACATGACACAGTTTTGAGGTCTGACTCTAATGATGGGCCAGGTGATACCAGCTAACTTGTATGACCTGAATTTTCTCAGTAGCAGGCTGTAACTTGTGTGAAGTATCCAATGTCCTGTCTTTGGTGGTCTATAAAAAGCTAAGCAGAAAACCTCAAGCACACATCTGTCTGTTATTTCTCTTCATATAACCTTTTGTAACCAGCTTTATCTGAACACCTGGGCCTGAGGCAAGTATTTATGAAACAGTACCCACACACTGCAAAACATTTTTACAGGTGCTTACTTAGCAAAAAAGTTGACAGCAGAAGTGAATATATTTTGGTCAAACTGTGAGAAAAGAGACATGCCAATAAAAGAAAGACAACAGGCTCCCCACAACTAGACGATAGCATCAATAAAAGTGCAATTACACTTCCAAATTTTCTTGCTATTCTTTCCATAATGATCATAGGAACCTGATTGTATCAGCTGGAAATGTTAAATATGCAGAGAATGCACTAAGGAGAGCACACTCACCATGTACTATCAGGACATATTCTGTGCTGTTTCGGCCAATGGGATTTTTTGCTTCACATCGATATGTGCCATTGTCTGTTTTGTTTAGGAAGCTGATGCTTAGAACCCTGCCATTGACAACCATTCTCTCTGGATCTGGTAGTTCTCCACCGTCCTTTGTCCACAGAACTGGTTCTGGCCTGTTGGATCAAAGTGTGGCATTTATTTAGACACATGAAACAAGTGTATGCAACATGTACATCAGAAATAACACCATCAGCAACTTACGAACAGTCACCTACCACCCCAAGAATATTTGAATTACTGGATCTAATGAACCATCACTGTGACAACCTTACCATCCTGGATGTGAACTGCTAAAGAAAGTGAAAGAACGAGCAGAGAAATAAGAAAGAAGATAAATAAAAAAGGAAGCAGAATGGTACTGCAACAGGCCAAGATCTTTCCTAAATTAAAAAAATAGCTCTTGTAAGGTTTCAGGGACCACAGGTGCTTGGCAAGGTAAATGCAAATAGGATGATTTGGGTGTAAGTGGTTTGAAAATGGATTCTTAAATTACTTAGACCATTCATATTCACGAGTGAACTTGAATGCACTGAGTAATTTGCCTGAACCAGGTGTATCAGTTCCAATGTAGCACGTGTTGCACACAACCTAAACTTGTTTCTTTTGCTGCATTGTGTCACAGCCCACCCCTTTTCCCACCTTTTCTTCATCCTTCCCTTAAATAATTCCTTGTTCCACATGTTATCACGAGCAATGTAAAATTTAACTTGAAATCCCGGATTTTCTTCTTTTGCGAAGCCTTTCCTCTTTTGCCTGATGCACTCACATCAAACAGGCCAAGGGCAATGCCCTGGCAGTGATGAACCCCTAGGCAAGGTAAGGGCACCACAAAGAAGGGAACTGGCAGTCCTGAAGGTTCACACACATCTTCCCTCTGGCAAGGCATACCTAACTCCTTCCTAGAGACTCTCAAGAAGCTCCACAGCCCATGAGATGTGCCCCACAGCCAGCACGATGTATTTATTACCCACACAGAGCCTTTACTTGCCTGTAACAAGGTATACTTTCAAATTTACATGAGGGAAATCACCAAGACAGGACTGTAACTGGGAATGAAAGGTTGGTTTACTGAATCTGGTCTATGTAAGGAGCAGACAGAGCATCTCAGACCCTTTTACACCAATCACTTCAGCAGGATATTCACAGCCTGGGGATTCCACGCTACCTTGCTTGTAGCTTTGTGCAGTCTAAGCCACATATCAATCTCATATCCAAACATGCCAGTTGTGTGACTCAGTAATAAACCAAAATATAATACACTGTTATAAAATTAGCAGTTGCCAGGTTAGTCACTAGTCGCACTCCAGAAACACTTAATTTCACTAATTTAAAACAGGTGCTTAAGGCCTATTAGATATAAGTGCTAAGAAAAAGAATTAAAGCTAAATACTTCAGGAGAAACATTTAGCCAAAATGTGGCCTCATAAAAATAAAAATAGCTCTAATGGCTGTAATGACATTATTTTCTTTTGAGTTAAGCAACACATGTAAATAGAGGGAATTTTTCTGAAATGCACTTACTTCCACAAAATTCAAATTAGTCTTTAAAGAAAAATATTTATTCTGAAATATTATAAATTTACACTCATTTTAGTAATATTTTGGATGACACCCTGTTAAAGTGTTGTTGAACGTAGTACTTGGCTGTACTCCAAAGTTTTGATTTTTTCCCAAAAAATCAGATGCTCAGAGAATGAAAGCAAGAATTAAGACCTGATAGGGTGATGTGTCTTATTTATGTCTTAACATAAATATGTCTTAATCCTCTTCCTAAGCTCATTTTTATGAGCTGGTATCCATGCACACATGATACACAATGTGCGCACTTTCTTTCTGTTTAATGCAAGCAGGGAATCCAGATGTCCACGCTGGTGTAGAAGCATTGCCCTACAGAGTTCCCAGCATTAAGCTGTGATTTGCTGTGATATTTTAAGGTGGATTTGTTCAATTTTCCAGCCAACTCCGCATTGTTTCCCATTTACCAACTTACTGTGGATCTGCAATCCCAGGAGTGGGGACTCTGAACCACTTCAGCTACAATGTGCACCATTACCTGCATAAATGGCGTGTTAAAGCAACTTCTGTGCAGCGGTAATTTATGGAACTTAGGTTTTAAATTGAAACTAGATGGCATATCCTAGGGGAAAACCTATAGGATAACAAATAAGTATGAAATGGAGCAGTAGATATAAATTATTCAGGGAGCTCTGTCACATTGTAATACACCAACTCTAGTCTTATACACAGCTGTGGTTGCAAAATAATGTGTGGCAGAAAATCCAGGGCTTAGAGAGAGGCAGATTTGCATTCTCTGGTTGTTGGGGAAGCTGCTAATCCAGAGTGAATATTCAGCCATCCTGTGCTGTATTTGTGGCAGCAGCAGAACAATCCCAGGGCAGCAGACCCAGAGCCAACATATCCTGGTGGCCGGGCACAGCTCTCCCTCCACCTCACCACTGCCTAAAGCAGCAATTCTGTCACAGCCACGGAATGAAATTCTGCCTGCACTGCTGGGAAGCTTTGAGACACTTGGTCTACACAATTCACTGGTTCGGCAGAAGCGGGCTAAGAACATGAGACATGCCCCTGCACCCAGGGCATCACGCTGCCGTGGTCAGCAGCAGCAGGATGGCTTTTTAAGGGAAGCATGGGAGTACATCCATTTTCTGCTGTCCATTCCTCCTGCACTCTGCCAGCAACAGCAATCATCCTGTCAGGGGTGCTGCAGGCCACATCTTGTGCTCTCTTTTGTATCCCATTCATAGGCACAGGTCTAAATAATATCAAGACCAATATCTTTTGGAATCTGCTTATGATGTCCATGAACTATACCTCCTGTAGCAACTAATTCTGGAAGGTCCCTACCTGCCATGCAAAATGGTATTTGCTTTATCTTTCACTCATCTCCTGGAAGTGGCAATGAATATTGCAGGACATGGTAAATAGCACTCCTTCCCAATATAACCTTATTGTAAGTTATGACAACCTAGAACTTAGCAGGCCTGTCCCTCCCCTTTTTTCTCTGTTTGTTAGAATTTGAGAATCTCACCTTTGTGTTTGTTAGAATCTCACCTGTTTGTTAGAATCTCACCTTCTGAGATTATCAGATGGGGAGAAAAAAAAAAAAAAAAAAAAACCTACACAAAAAAAGGGGAAAGGAATCTTAACTTTAGAGCACATTGGGTATTCTTTCATAATTGCCTTAGTACCTTCATTGTCCAAAGCTGAAACCCTGAAACAGCTTTCCTTCTCTGTCACAAGGCACAGACAAGTGTGAGTTCCCCACAGTTTATCCTACTGAAACCCTTCCACAGGTGAAGACCCAGACAGAGGTTCTTGCTCTTACTCAACATTTTGAAAGGGATACTTATGTTTGACATGATAAAACACCTGGCAAATATGTACACTCCTAATATTGCACATTTTTCTCTATTGCATACGTCTCTAACATTGCAGAATTAAGGTATTTTTAAATACTAATGACTTGTCACAACATTGTCAATTCCTATTTGAACTGGAACAAACAGGGAACAAACAGTACCTTCCATTTGTGCATTCAGTGAAAGCCTTAGAAAAAGGAACTGGTTTTCAGTACAGAAATCTGAGTTTGGTAACTGTCTTCATGTTAGCCTCAAAACCTGACATAGGACCAACATAATTTGGTACTCTTTTCCAGTCAGAATGAAATGGGATTAAAATGAAGGTATAAAACATTAGTGTGAAGTTCCACAGTGATTCATGTTTTTTATTGTGGTACTTTTCAAGTAACTAAAAGAAATGGTAAATACAGCAAAGCTATTTTTCTGGCCTTGAGAGTAGAAAACCTTTTCTTTCAAAACAAGTCAGAGAGAAAGGTAGGGGCAAACTGAAACATGTTGGAAAAAAATAAATTAAAAACCACACTCTTGATTAGAAAACAACACCTAGGTACTGCCTTACCTTTTCAAGAAGTGTTTACATAATATAAAAGTCAACAATTATATTTGTCTACATTTATATATATATATATATTTTTAGCTAAGATCTTTGAAATTACACAGGAGTATTTTAACACAACATTGGCAATTTTCTGTCCCTTTCTCCACCCTTAACCTTAAGGACAGTGATGTTTCAGTGTTTTCTTATAATCCTTCTCTCTAGTGATATCTTTATATATAACTGTAATAGTCAACTTACCCTCCATTTAAAAATTATATATATATATATATATTTATATGTTTTATATCTATATATATATAGCTATATGTTTTCTTTTTGAACAAAGTGAATTTAGGCAATGCAACCCATTTTCACTTGAAACTTTTTGGCTCTATGCATTTTTGTTGCCCTTTTTAAATTTTTGTGCACAAAAATTTCATGTACAATGTATTCTTCAATGAGTCCTTAGTAAACAACACTTGGACAATTTACTGGTCCATTATAATAGCAGAGAATAACTTTTTCATTTCCATAAGATCACACTCCAAAAATCCCATGACCAACCAAAACAAGAACAACAAAAAAACCCCCAAAAAACCAAAGCCACCTTTTTACATGTCCAGTCTCACTGGGGATATTATCACACAACTGGGTATCCAGGCATGCTGTAAAAATTTTGTAGCAAATTTGGGTAAAAATAAAGATAGAAGAAGAAGAATTTGAGGAACACCAATGAGATAAATATAAATTCATATTTTTGAGTAGGGCCCTCTCCAACAATACCTTTTAGTTCTTCAAACAGGGGCACTCTTGTATTCACTGAAGTCCATAAAAAACATAATCTAGTGGATATGCTCAAATGAGTAGTGGAAAAGGTGCCGCAAGATTTAGCAGAGTGTTTCTTATTGAAAACCTGGTGCAATGTTAAAAATCATCTAAGGGAATGATTGCTTCATTAATTTGAAACTTATAGCTCTTTTGTATCAAGAAATTGGATTTTTTAGCTTTGTCAGTTAATCACCCACTTGAAAGTCTAAACCTTGGGGGAACCTCTTGTTTATATAAAGTCTCAGTCTGAGGAGTCATATTGGAATGAACTGGTTTGGGAGCATTTCATCTATCAAAAACATCAATATCCACAGTCTCTAGCCTTTCATAAAAGGCTTGGATAGATAGATTTTATTTTATGAGATAA